ATTTTTTTTTTTTTTTTTTGGGGGGGGGGGGGGGGGGGGAAAAAAAAAAAAGGAAGGGGGGGGGAGGGGGGGGGGGGGGGGGGGGGGGGGGGGGGGGGGGGGGAAAAGGGGGGGGGGGGGGGGGGGGGGGGGGGGGCCGGGGGGGGGGGGGGGGAGAAGGGGGGGGGGGGGGGGGCGGGGGCCGGCCCCCCCCCGGGGGGATTTTTTTTTTTGTTTTAAATTTTATAGGGCCTTCTTTGGAAAAAATTAAAAATTATGTTTTAAAAAGAATTGTTCTTGAATTGTCCTGTAGAAACGTTTAATCAGGAAGTACTCTAAATTATTATAAAAGTAAACGTTTGTCTTTTGTTGAAACATATTTACAAAAAAATGTGCGCATATCTCGATCTCGAACCAAATAATTAATTGCCATTAAGAGAACAAACGGCTTGCGATACACGTTAGCAGTTTTGAAAAGGTTCGCCCAAAACGACGATATCGACGGAACGGCGGCCTGTCGGTATGTTTGAATGGTCAATTTGAACTCCCACGCAGCGCATTGATTTGCTGTTAAGTACAAAACGGGGTTCGTACACCTCTTTCGGATGTAACGTCGGCTTAATTTCCGAGAAGACCGTGTGAGTGTTAATTTTCATTTTTTTATACACTGCTCTCGTTTTTTTTTTGTTTTATTAATGCATTATATGTTATACGCGATTTAATGTTGCATGTTTAGCATACTGTTATAACTATATACGTTGTTACATATTTTTTTAACAATTCAATAAAAAAACCATGGCATTTATATTTGTTAGTATAATCATTGATTATTATTATGGCTCTTTAGTAGTTTATTTATACCGCTTGAAAAATACATCAAATTTTAGCTTTAGAGTATTGAGACAATGTTATCACAGCACTACTATTGAATCTTAAGCCGCAGACTGGAGACCGGATCTGTTTCCTGTAAGTTGCATTTCCCGCGTGACGCGGAATGAATAATTCATTCGCCGCTCGGATATCGTTCGCCTCTTCGTTCATTCGAAAAGTGTTTGAGTTAATTTCATTCACGCTTTACATATTGAACTGAACTGGTCAAAATGGATGTTAGCTGGATGTGTTGGACGGACTTTAAGAGACATACATCTGTAATATACTATATTATTAACTAGCTGTGACAATGACTTCGTCCGTGTAGCAAAGTTATTTTGGGCATCAATATTTGTTTTTGCAAAACTCCTCTTCATCTTTATAGATTTAAGCTATTGTTCACCACGTCGGTCGCGTTCCGTCGTTTTTTCAAGTTAATCATAAAAGAGACTATAGTGTCGCGGACATATCTTTTAGATCATTTTAGGAGTTGTTTTCTCCACAGTTCCCGCTGCTTCGTCGCTCCTATTAGTCGCAGCGCGATATTTTATTCGCCTTCCGCAATAAACGCTTTAACCAACACAAAAAACAAACAGTTCCCACCAGTAGTTTCTAGGATTAGCGCGTTCAAATAAAAAAAAAACTCTTCACCTTTATATATTAGTATCAATTAACAATAACATAATTTTACGAAGAGGACGTTTTAATAACAAGACTATATGAGTAATTTGTAAAAACGTTATATATAGTGATGTGTGCCTAGTTCACCTCAGGGTTCGGTAGACCTTCAGCCCACCCAGGCCGTTTGGCTGTTACGCATTACGTAACGATACAAAAACAAAAGCCGTGACCCTCGTATGTAACGCGTGCCTTGAGTTAGGCGATAACGTATTGTCTATTAATTCTGCTTTAACTGCGTTGAAAGTCCGATCAAAACCGGTTTGAAATGTCTCGGTTAGAAATCTAAGCAAACAGACAAATAAAAGATGTATCATGACTTTGTCAGTTAGTTATATAATAAACATATCCCGAAAACAAAGGTTCAAAGGATAATTAGCTTGACGTTAGAAGATTTAAATGCAAACATTTACATTTAAGAAACTTGGTGGGAATCCATCTCATACTACTTAGTTGTGATGTCAAACTGAACCTAAGTTTGGCGAACCAAACATACAACTAAAAAGACGTTTATTAATAAAAGTAAAATCCCGTTTCCCATCGTGGGGCATGGGGCCAACTAATTTCTGCGTCGGTTTCACTGATCGTTTTTATTTACAGTTAAATAGTTGATCAGACTTCTGGGCCCTTCCCGACCGAAGCAATTTATGCTAATATAGAGATACCTTAAGAAGGTGAATATAATTTTGGCCCAGTTAAATGTACGCATGTCACAACAGCTGCGTTATCATGTATTATTCGCACGTGGTCGTGGCTTCGATTCAAACGTCCATCAACGTCGTACAGAGGACGGCGCCTCCGGACGGATAACGCGCGATTGTTCACTTCGCCATCTTGTCGCTTGACAATTAAAACCTTGACGTATCATTGTGTATGGGTTTTAACCTACTTTAAAAGTGGAGTGTGCATAACATACGTGTATATAATTATGTTATAATATCGATGGCACACGAGTGTGTTTACGTGCTTGAAAACGATGTCGGGCTCGAGCCCATTTGAATCCAGGTTCCGTTACTGGTATAAAACGCGGACCGCTTGTATCGTTCGTTTTAAGAATTTAATACCCATTGTTCGCACCATCTTGGTTTTGCTTAAAAAATGTTGATTAACTTAAACTCCAGTCCAGCCAATCAATTCTTTGAAAAGGGCGATTTGACTAATGTCCCAATTATTATCTCTTCGCGATGCAATCTCGACAATGATTCGATAATTTTCATTTGGTCGCATGATCATAAATTCGTCGGCAATTTCATCGGGACGGCTTATGTCTTGTTTCGACCGTTTAAGGCATCTGTAATAACCCGCCGAAGCTTTACAGCCTCAATGAAATGAAATATTCGTATAAAATCATTTGTAACGCAGGCCGTTTATACCGGAGCGATTAGGATTTATTTTATTTTAATTTAACAGTTTCTACCTCTTGATAACCATAATCTACCACTCGTTTGATAGCTGATGATTCTTTTTATTAGTAGTAGAAAGAAGAATACAGAATATTTAATATTTTTCTTGGTAATTTGGATTTAAGTTTTTTAACTAATTAAAGGTAGGTGAACTAAAGGAAAAGTACCAGTTATCCAACGACATTCAGTACGTGTAAAACAACGCTGGCCGTTTAAAAAATGGATCTGGTGTATGTTGACCCTAAAATATGATTAACAAATTGTACGAAATGGCTCTCTGATTTTAATGATAAGGTCGAAATGATATGTCATTCGCAATTTCGAGAAAGATCGACCTTAATTCGCGGTGAGATTGTTAACAAATATATTACGCTACTAAAAGAGTCTCTCTCTTTTCAGCAACTATTGTTTTAAATTTTTTGATATAAGAAAACAGAGATAATTTTGTCTATTTTAAAACATTACGCATACACGACTAGTAAAACAATTGTTATTTACAATCAAAGGCATTTAATTAACACAATTGATGATAATTTTTATTAAACCCACACGCGATCAATCATATAATTTGTGTGTCAACATTAAAACGCAATTTAGGCATTACTGGGACGTAGTTACTATTTTATTACCGTTCGTATAGTAATAGGGATAATGGGGGCAGTTCCAATTAAAAATTTTTGTTTGTTATTTTGGAAAGTTACACAAACCCTTTTTTTCTGTGTTTTGGTTACGTGGATGTGCTCCTGTTTCCGCCTGAGGGGGGGGGCAACCACTTGTTTGTGCTCCTCTGCCCTGCCCGATCGAAACAATTAAATGATTTATATAAGTCGTTATGTGTATTGATTAAAACTGTTAATTTTTCAATCGATTTAATTTCCATAACTGAACATTGCAATCCAGCGTGTTCGAGTAGAAAAACAAGAAGTTGTAAAGCTTTTAGACTTTAAGAGCTTAAGCGCCGGCCAAGCGCTCGTTAGGCACACAGAAAGTATGCTATCTTTCGGTGGGCCCTAGACGGCGAATTGACCTAGATGTCGGAAATCGATTCTAGACTACAATTTACTTGTTTATTTACTGCTTCTAGACCGGAAAATTCTATTTCTACACGAACGTTGGACATGCAAATTTAAATAGTTCACTCGCTGTGGACGTGTACTGTACATTTAATATTGCCTTAAACCGAATTTTCTGGAGCAAATATCGTTTGATAGGAATGTAAAGAATATATAGATGAATACATTTTTTCCTTTCCATTGACAACGGTTTAAAATATTGTATTAAGTACTATGAATTGAATTGAATTTAACATTTCACTTAGTTGTATGCGATCAATGCTAGGCTAGGCGTAAGTATAATACATAAAACTGAGTACAGTTGCCAACTTATTTTTCTCTAGCGTTGAAAGGTCAAAAGCTAAGCCAATAGCGCCTAAGTGACCCAAACACCCCCGTATCATATATCCCATTGGGGTCACGTAAAACTTGAGCCTCCCACGTGCACGAAACGTGACTGACTCGCGTTTCAAATATAATAACAGTACAATTCAATATCTATAACTCGAGAGCTTCGCGTGGATCTCCCTAAATAGTCCCACAGTTAATGAAAGCTGCTTGGTACGTTCTTTTTTGTACTACTTATAAAACATCATTTTATTTCATTTACGTTACGAATTAGCTACAGTTTTTTTTATAAAAAAGAGAGCTAAATCATAATCACAGGTTCCAAAAGGGGCTTGTATCACAGTCATGCTGCACAATCTTGCTGTTCTACTGTCGGCCTGTTAAACACTTTACATATTAACATTTTATAGAAGTGTTATCTACTATTTTGTAATTACTGATATAAATAGAAGAGTGAGATTTTTGGTGCAACCGAATGCAAACAGTAGGTACAACAAAATAATTTTTAAATGCAGTAGCTGCCACTCTTTATAACTTTCCCTTATCGGTCTCGGCATAAAGTCTTATCTATAAATAGACCTAGTATAATGGTTATCCCCATATCGAGTATATATTTCCCTTTAAGTTACTTGGGATGTATATACCTAATACGCGTTTTGCTTTCTTCCAGTTCTACTAAGTGAGACGATCCTCGCAGATGACACGTTGGAGAATAAGACCCTTAAGATCACCGATTTCGGTCTCGCCCGGGAAGTGTATAAGACCACCAGGATGTCGGCTGCCGGGACTTATGCCTGGATGCCGCCTGAGGTACTGTTCTTCTAATTAAAACAATACTGTCTGCAAAAGACTGTGAACCTTTTCCGATAGAGTCTGTGCGTTCGATATGCACATGTGAATCAATTTATCTCTGTAGTTTACGCGGGTAGAAGAGGATAACTTATTTTTAACATGCATGCTTTGCAGTCGCAAAAGCCGTAGTTCGGGGGGGACTAAAGATGAAGGACACCTAATGGATTTTTATAATAGTTAAAAGTTAACTTTTAATAGTTAAAACTGTTATATTTAGATACTAAAATTTATTAACATCAAGTAATTTTTAAAAAGTTACCTTTTTCCAAAAGTTTTTGAAAATTATTGACAACGAATGTCCGTTAGATGTCATTTTAGTCTCCTTAATTAGTTTAGAGATAATAATATAAGGTTTTGGTTTTGGTTAATATTCCCTCACACTTACATTTTATTTATACTTCTTTTACACACGGGTCTTCATGGTAACCGTTGATCGTTCTCTATGATGAGCAATTAAACCATACTGTGTTATCATCATTGTAATAAATCGTTTTTCTTTTCCATATCATGTCTCAAAGTAGCAAAGAGTTACAATAAAAAAATTCGTAATAATACATTTCAGGTTATAAAGAACTCGACGTTTTCGCACGCGTCGGACGTATGGTCGTACGGCGTGCTGCTGTGGGAGTTGCTCACGGGCGAAACGCCCTACAAGGGCATCGACGCCCTCGCGGTGGCCTACGGAGTCGCCGTCAACAAGCTAACGCTGCCCATACCCAGCACGTGCCCGGAGCCTTGGCGGGTGCTTATGGAAGGTGGGTTCCGACGTTAGGGTGTGAGGTATATTTAGGTGATAGGGTAGCATTGGACGAAACCGCCCTTTATGCTCTCTACCCGACCTGCCCACGCTCCTATTGTAAACTGCCTCGTCATAACTTTTCAGCATGCTGGCACTCGAACCCTCGCGAGCGACCGCTGTTTCCAGAAATCTTAGAACAGCTGGACCGAATCCGTCAGTCGGAGTTCACTCGGGCGCCTCACGAAAGTTTCCACACAATGCAAGACGGCTGGAGAATAGAGATTGAGGAGGTGCTTCGGGATCTCAGAAGAAAGGAGAAGGTAACTCACTCATCCATTTGGAAAGTAATATTTTTAGGTAGTCCAAATTGTACGACAACCGAGTCCAGTTCCTATTTAATCAAAAATTCCATCCTCTTTATTTTTTTATTTCGTTGTCAAGGGTTTTTGAGTAATCAAGCAACAAACCTAATTTAACACTCTTTTCGCTTATCATTTATTAATTACAATTAAAAAGTCAGTGTCTAATTTTCGAAAATTTAATTTGATTTCCATAGAGCTACGTTACTATAAGACACCGCATATAATCATGTATTGAACTGTATGCACTTGGAAGCATTAAAAGACACATCCTAAAGTATTACTCGTAATACAAAGTCACAAGTATTCATGTTTGCTAATAGAGTTATATAGATGTGTTATTACAAATGAACTAATGCAAAAACGTCTCCTGTCTGCTTACATAGGAATGCAAAACTATAGAAGAGGTTAGTTTTGTAGCTAACTCTAGTTGTATGTCGTACGTTGCTTTTTATGTGTTTTTATTAATGCTTTGTCTGTTTAAGTGGTTTCATTGATATTGTATATTTTACGGCTATGTATATATATGTAGGTAGTATAATACTTATTATTGAGGTTTTATTTTAAGTATATTTAACAAATGAACTTTAAAATTACAGCATGTACCGCTCTTTTTTTTCACAATTTGTGTATGCTATAGAAATTACCATACATTAATGTCTTTATTTGGCCGTTTTGATAGTACACAGAGCTGATTTTTTCTGTTAATCAATATCATTTAATAATATACGAATAATTATGTGCTTTTGAATTGAATTTTATTTAACGGAAAACGACTAAAACTACTTTAACTATTGTAACTAGATAAATGCATGAAATACCGAGTATATAATAGTTGGTCTATTTCTGCTCTAATGAATAGAGGGAGCAAGAATTTTGACTCATGTAGGAATAAATCTTTTTCAGGAGCTTCGATGTCGCGAAGAAGAATTGACTAGGGCTCAACTGCAGCAGCGGTTAGTAGAACAGAACTTAGCTCAGAAGGAGCGAGAGCTGGAGATGAGGGAGATAGACCTGGCGGCTCGGGAGCTTCACATCCTCATCTTCGCCAGTAACATGTCGCAGCAGCCGCCACAACCTAACAAGAGAAAAGGTTAAAATATAAATAAAATCTTTTAATAAACGTCATGCATGTGTTTTCCAAGGTGCTTAATTATTACAACGTAGCATAATAGCAAATGATTTTGTAACCTTTGATATTTTTATGTAGGTAAATTCAGCAAGATCCGCCTCCTGAAAAAAGACACTATCTCCTCACCTCTCGACTTCCGGCACACGCTGACAGTGAGACCAAACGACGAGTCTAGCGTGAAACAGCTCGTCGCCGTCGCTAAGGACACACCCCCCGGATCGCCGGCCATCATGCGCGCGATAGCACGTGAGTAGCATTTTTTACTTCCCATCGTGTCCTCCTTCAGCGAAAACTACTTTGGAACTACACAAAGGAAACAAAGTTTTATTAAAATTATTTGTACGCAGTTTTTTAATAAGCTTTAGGGTTAAAGAGAATATTCTCAAAAAATCGAATTCAATAATATTTGTATAGAGCTATCGTAATGTAATAATTTCGATTAAACGTTAAATTGAAAATATTTTCAGTGCCAGCAGACGGCGTGAAGGGCAAGACTTGGGGTCCGTCAACGGGCCACACGCGTACGCGCACGCACTTGCCGCTGCCCGCGCTACGTCCGCGCCCACACCGCCCCGCCGCCTCCGCACCGCACCTCTCCCCCGCGCGCGCTTCGCCACATCGGCATCCCGGTAAGTACTAATTTAACAAACAAATGCGACATCTATAAAATTTATCAAAAAACATTTTAACCGATTAATTATAAGCCAGTACAATACTTAATGTAAATTTATAATACATATATAACTTAATTGAACTTTAGAAATGTTATAAGTCTTAAATTAGGCATATTAATCACTAAATTTCTATAATACTATTTCTCTGACGGATTCGTTGAATTCATTGCATTATGCCATTCAATTTCGACAAAATTAAATAGACTGAATAGAGCCATCGATAGTCGTCGCGCTTAAAGCGTCACCTCCGAACCCGCCTCCGCTTTAAGCGTAACGGCGGTGGTCTCCCGGCCTAGCCGAATCCCACATCCCTTATTCATACGCTGTTTTGTCCACGCAAAGAGACGGACGCGAGCGCGGGGCTCATAATAAGCGCGGTGGAGCCCAAGCGCAAGGCGCGCAAGTCGAAATCGCAGGTCCGCGCGCCCAAAAGCGAGCTCGCCGCCAAGCGCTCCGGCAGCCACGACGACTTGCTATACGAGAACGACGAACCGCGCCGCAACCGATTCCTCCTCTGTCCCATGTTCACGTCCGCCGCGGACCTCCCGCACCACTACGACACCGTCTTCGACATTCCCGACAAGCGGAAGGGCTCCCACGGGGAGATTAAGAAAAACTTCCTCAAGTCGATCCGATCGAACAGCCTCGCCGGCCTGCTCGCCGTCGCGGGCAGCCTCTCCTCCGACACGACCGAGCTGCTCAGGGACGAGTGACGACCGCGTCGCCCCACGTACATATCATTCGTTGTAACATTCCCCCCACCCGCGCACCTCCCTCGTTGTTCAAATGTCGACTCGTCCCTTAACAGGTCGACGTACGATTCCCAGGAATTGATGTAGTTGCTAAGTTTATCATAAAATTATAAAAAAGACTTATTTTTCGCTAGGTTTAGTCTTAGCTTAGGACCAGTGTTAGTTGAATTTATACGAATTTCCAAAAATCAATGTATTCAATTTCGATCAGACAATAGTGGTTTAATTTAAAGCATTTATTCAGATCTTAGTTTAGGCTATGATAAGACAAGTCGCTGGCAGAACTCCTCTTCTTTTACTGTAGTCGGTCGAAAGTTGCCAGTAATGTAGTAAGTAGCGTTAGTTAGAGGTAAAGATCTGTAATGTAAGGTGAACGTCCAAAAGACTTGTTAGTTCCAATTGACTGAAATTCGTTTAGGGTTCTTGCCAATTCGTTCGCCGGCAACGCACGCTGGAATCATTCGGGGTCGTCAAAAAAAGTCAAAACATAAAAATGTACTCTTCGATTCCGACGTTGTGTCCGGCCTGAAAACTAATTTATCTCGATTTCTCTCCTCGCCGCTAAAGGATCGTCCGACAATCTGCCATATCCTTGTGAGTATTTTTCAAATAGATAGTTTTTTTTTGACTCGTTTACAATCAAAAATGTCACAAAAGTAGATTTTTTAATTACGTGGCAGACGCAAGTAGTGTTAAGCGAATATAAAGTACTGATCGTATGCAATGTAGAGTATGATTTAGATTGTGTGCGTGTTGTAGATTAAATATAGATTTTGTAATTTTTTATCAGTTTTTTCCTTTGTGAATTGTAAGCATTTGTTTGCTTCCGGCCTGTTTTTAGTTAAGCGCTGTGCATGCTTATCAGTTCATAGTTCGCTATATACGGTAAAGTTTATGATCTTATATATGTATCTGTTGTACTTACTCGAGAGACATACATACATCGCTTCGTTTCTTACACTATGTCATAATGTGGCACGCTTTCAAATGTTTACAATGGTGTAATCTATTGTTTTTGGAAGCCTGTTTGAATCTACATTCCATTTAGAGAGCGCAGTTAAACCGGTACTTCCACTCGCAGGGTTAACTTACCTTCTCTCTGTTGGCTCCGTCAGACAGACTTTCAAAACGAAAGAGTAGAAGTAGGTACATAATGTAAGATAGTACAAAATATGACTTTCCGCTGTAACATTGGATAATAACAAAATGTTCCTTGGTGGTGGACCTAGACTCGAACGAAATTATGTCGAAATATCACCAAAGCTATAGGGAATTAGGGCTCCGTTTGTAAATTGATCGAATCGAAACTCTTTGGTGATCCGGTTCTATAGTTTATACTTAATTCTATATATATCAATAAACCTTTTCCATAAAATCGAATCTGGTGTATTCTTTTAACATGGGTCTACTAATAAAGCTAACACTCCCCTAACTACGATCTATGGCAACGCCCTAGATGAACATAGACAATAGAGGTGAAGGAAACCGAAAACGGCTTGAGCTTATCTAATCTGGAATCTAAGGAGGATAAATTAATAAATATAACCATTATTGATCGAAGTTACAAGTCAGAAAGCCATGTAAGTATTTTTTTCGTTTGCTCCTCACTGTTCACACGTTCATCTCAACAATTTGGGTGATATGATAATCGAAATGTGGACTAAACAACGTATTTGATCGTAGCAGTCTCAGTGTGTCTAACGGGTAGATTACTTTAACTATTTAACATCTAAGTGCTATTTTAAAAGATAATAGCGATATTTAAGATAGTGTCCCGTTCCTAACATTTCAGCCCTTTTATTACGTATTTGTCTTATAAGAAGTATTAGAAAAGCTATGTAATATTAATATAGCGGACGCATCTTTTGTCCCACTCTAAGACTTATTCGATCAGATCCGTAATAGACAGACAACCTTCATGTTTTACATTTCCATTCCACAGACAGCCGTGCTTAGAGTTAATAAATAAATGAAAGTTTTTTTGGGAAACCAGCTCTTAGAAGTCCCTTGAGCAACCTTCAAATGAGATCCTACGTTTTTTAGAATGTGCGAGAATATCTGAATACATTCTGCGCGTACGCAGCAGACAAATGTACGACCACCGTTATTGCCCCTCAGTGCGGCTGTCTGTATGTGTGTGCCAGTAGTGCTTTATGTTGCTTTGTAATGAACTGTTTAGCATGTGTAGTTACTTTAAAACACGCGCGTTATTCGCACTATTATCTCGAAACGCACCTTTCTAGATATAAAACAGTACAAAATAATTCTTGAAAATATGTAAACTTGATTAGAATGTAATTATCTTTACTGGAAGCCATTAATGAAAACTTCACCATTCATCAAAAAAATAAGTCACTTACCATCGGTTTGACTGCACTGGTGTAAATCTAAGAAAGACATTTGAAATTGTTGTTCGTAGCATCGATGTATTATGATTGTTAGATGTTTACCGCTCTTTACAACAAACGCAAAAACGCAATAATTTATCCACAATTAACAAAATTATAGATGGCGTTGTGCTTAATAATATCAAAAGATTAATTAACTTCTTTTACGAGTTTCTTGGAGCCAAACGTAGTAACTGGTTAGAAAAGTAGTATTTATTTATAGGAATTCGCTTTAAAAAAGATATAGATTTTGTAAAGTACTACATCGATGCTGAACGTAACTGTCGTATAGATGTCGTGCGCACACCCCTAGTCTAATGCCTATGTTTCTATTCACATAGGTTGTTTTCTTCCTTACACAGACTTCAGTCCGGACGATTGGGGTCCAGAGTACCCTCTGAGCACCTCTTCCAGATACACTATACCTATGCCGACGCTATACAGCACGGAAGGTCGGTATTGTGACATTTTGTTTAAAAGAGTGCGCAAGATTTATCAATATTGATTTTGTAGTTTTGGTATGAAAGAGTAACCAACAATTAAAAAGTAGTATTTGACTATTTAAAGTACTAGGCTGTATTTATCTAACACTTGTCACCCAGTGAAACTGATATTCCATCTTATAAGAATGAATTATAAAGGTAGAGTCGATAAAAAAGCGACTAAACGTTTTTTCAGGCTACAAATACAAGAAGCCTAGCATAATCGAACTAGTGCTTTACAACATGGCGGCGCTGCTAGGGGGCGTGGCCGCCGGATATGACGTCAGAGTGTCCAACGTTAGCCCACTGCATCCCACCTTGCAACCGCACAGGTAAGTAAGACTGTACAGTGTATATGCTTAAAGATAACGACAAACAACCTCATGGTCTTGTAACATGGTTTTGTTTAACCAATTATTCATTTGTATTTTCAGGCCTGAGCCAGAAACGGACGTGCTGAGTCCCTCCGTTTACGAGGGTTTCGGCTTCGCCCACAATACTTACCACGGCCCCACTAGACATGTGCGGGCGCCGCTCAACGCTCTCACTGACCCGGTGAGAATATTTCTCGTATTTTTGTGTAAACGTCATAACTTCGATTTAAAACATTAAATATGCATAAAAGAAAATCACATGATTATTGGTATAGATGTATTGTAACTGTCATTGAACACAAAAAATAATGCAATTTCAGATATCCAGCCTTCAAGCGGAAGAACAAAAACCGCTGCGTTTCACAGACTCGCCAACGCACTATGCACATCCATCCTCCTCATCGGGTTATGGCCATTCCGCGCAACCTCTATCAGGCACTTCAGGTCTGGGCACAAACTACACTTCCACTCAACCCACCCCCTCGCCCAGAAGGACTTCTTCCACTTCGGACCACCTGGCGGATCTTTATCATAACTATAGGGAAAACTTCCAGCCTTCACCTTCCCAAGAGCGCCAAGATTTCTTCTACAGACCAGACTACTATGACAGAACGGCCGATTACGTAGTTAAGCATCCCCCCTATTATGGTTACGACGAGTGTTCCTTCGAGTTTCGCGAACCGACGCCTGATTACCGACCTCCATTTACCCACAGACGCACGCCGTCTAATTCTTCGACGTCAAATTCTCACCCGGAGGAGTTCTCACCCAAATTTCAGAAGTACCCCAAAGAACGCCCGGAATACCGCCCCAAGGGGGAGTATCCGAGGAAAAACGACTACTCTCTCCCTCGTGACTTCTATAGGGAGCAGGAAATCGAGAGGCCGGCTAACCTCGGCTTGGAATTGGCGCCCACCAAGTTACGGTCTAGCCTCAAAAAGTATAAGAAGTCGTCCGCGTCTGGAGGAAGTTCGGGGGGTGGTACCCCCACTAATCCCACTCCGCCGGACAGCTTGACGAGCGAAACGGATAGTTCTTACGTGTCTGCGAGAGATGTATCCAGCGGATCGCAGTCTAGAGTTAGGTTAGTTTCGAAATAATTTGTATTAACAAATTATAAATTCGGTCAATTTAATGTTATATAATAGGAAACAGGAATATTTTATATATTTATTTAAGTGAATACCCGATTATTATGCCCCACTTATATTAGATCCTATCAACAGATTGATGATTTCCAAAATTCTTGTTTGAAAGTAGCTAAAATAGCAATGTCGACAATTCCAGGTTCAGCCCTGAGACAATGGAGGGCGGGGTGGAGAGACGAGGCTCCCGGCACTCGTAGCGAAGGCTCACGAAGTTCGACGACTATCTGGTGTGACACGCCCGGTGCGTCGGACGACGTTTTAGCGCTCGCCTCTTGGACATAACTGTGCTTACTCTGTGACTAGGCGTGTTTCACTATGGCGGCCTATCGCCCTATCGCCGAACGCAAAAACTTTTGTGGCATATAAATAATTTGACTTCTCATACACGGTACATATTTCTGGGTTTTATACTTTGCTATGATGAAAATAGAATAACGTCGTGTAAAGCAGACGTACATCTGTCTCGGTGCATACACCGAATAGCCTTTTCAAAGCCTCTGTACTGTACATTTGCAGCATTATAATGTTTGAAAATTTGACTTATGATATGAAATCTCAATATTTGACATATGATATTTATTAACTGTGATTATTGTGAACTTTTTGAAATTGGGACTATTACTGTAGTTTTGTTAAGCGACGAGTTTGACATACCAATTGTAAAGTAAACGAGGTAGAGAATCGTTTAGTAATTATTGTCGATTTTTGAGGACGACATTGGAGTGTGCGATAACGCTTCCTTTTGTAACACTTTTTAACAATAAGTAAAGAGGTATTTCTGACGTTTAGATATTACCAAAATTGAAATATCTTTGATATGTAAAGTGAAAAGAGTTTCTTTGTGTTCGTAAGTATTCTGTACCGAAACTCAGGTTGGACTAGGTCATGTGTTCAATGTGTATGTACGCGTTATTAAAACTAATCAAATGGCTATTGTAGAACCGCGTTTTTAATTAATTATAAATCTGACGCATTGCAATATAGCGGATTAACCGAGATTAATGAGATTTTGACTAACGGCAGCTATTTAAAGTGTTAAATGTAGCGCCTTATGTATATATCTAAAGTGATTTGTATTAACGACCATATAAATTATATTCGTAAGAGATCGAGTAATGTCGGCGTAGATGTATACAGAACCCGTATGACAATATAGGCACAAACGTGTACAGTGTAAATAGCCGGTTCACTATTTAACAGGCGTTTGCGGATTTTCGTTAATAGTACAAATATGTTAAGATAACGTTAGAGACAGTAGCCGAGTGTACATTTCGAATATCGTACGCGTTTTGTACAAAGTGTCTTTTTTACTCAATGACGTGGCGATCAGGTCAGGTCGGCTCCAGAGGCCGGGGCGGGCGGGTCATATCATTATGTAGGGTAACAGAGAGATTTAAAAGTAATTGACGTTCAATTTCCTTAACATCCTTTAAGGTATATTGCTTATCTTAAAACGCTGGGAGAGGTTGCAGTAGTTTGTGCCTTGTAACAGGGATCCGCTCTGGCGTCTGCGAGTCGATCGCCGATGTAGTCGTAATGGCTTTTGTATTCCAATTGTACTAAATCGAAGTTACTAGTCGGGATTTTGCGAAATACGCGTTTCGAGCGTGTTATTTCATTATCTGAAGGCGTAATTTAAACTTCTAGCAAACGCAATTTTGACAAATGTACAATTTTAGGTTAATCAAAGTAGATATTTTTACCATTTTCGCTAAAAAGCATTAAATCTAAAATATATATGCATATATTACTTTCGAAGAACAGATAATGAACCCTAATTTATGAATGATTATGTGAATTAACTGATTGCAACAACAAAATCATTTTTATTTTTTAGTTAAGTATTTGATTTATATTGGTAAGATACTATATCCGATTGAATCTCCAAAGAGATAATGAAGTAACAGGTTTAAAATTGTTTTACTATGACAATACGTTGATGTTATAAAGATAAGCCACGCATTTGAATACATGGATTTGATAGAGTTCGTCATAGAATCAAATGTTCTGTATCTTGCTAGACTTCGAAGTATGATGTTACTATTGTATGTAAATTGTTTAATACACCATTCTAGCAAGAGACGAGACGAAAGATTGTAACATGTAATGTTTTCTTTTGAATATCTGAAGAATATTGAAGTCTTCTGAAGCTTTTTTAATATTGTAAATAAGAATACTGTTACATGTTACAATGTTCGTTATACGATTATTGGAAGTCGACAGATGTCCCAAAATAGCTTAGTTTGATCAGCGCGTTAATAATTAAGGTGTAATATTAGCTTTGATATTAGCAAAACCAGTGCCTAATGTCTGCTGGAAAGGTGTGCCACGAATTGTGATGATGCGGGTGTTCTATGAAACCATCAGATCATGTTTCATACGCAGGAATTCTGTCAACTGAGCAATTTCTAAACGAGATGCATATACTATCAATTTGCAATGTAACAGTTTTAACTTATAACATTTGAGTCATTAAATAATAATTATTAACTAAAAGTTAAACATCTCAGCTCGGTTGGCTGTCGTTTTTAATTGTATTATACAACTTTTTTTTTATTTATTTGTATATGGTGTATTTTTATTTATGTGCAATATGCGGTAATTGTTTGCGTCCATTATTTTATTTTTCGTTTTGTAAATCGTCGTGAAACAGTATTGGATCAGTATTCGAGTTGAAATTATATTTGTAGCGTGTTCCCTGTATGATATTGTTAGTGCTTGCCGACGTCCAGCTTCATTTATTTATTTAGTACAAACCAAAACCTAACCAAATTATGTTAAGAATCTCGTGTAAGTGTGAGATAGTCACAAATTGTTTCTCGAGTCAACGCAACACTGTAAATATTCACGGCGCGATTACTTAAAATGTCTAGTCTTTTATTTCGAGTTTAGTTGGGTCAGGCCACTATTAACCGGACATTCCACGAAGTGATATTGTGCTCATCGTAAGCGTTAGAATGTATTCCTGAAGGTTCTGTGTGCCAATGTATTGGGAGAATGCCTTACGTCTGTACGTTAAACCGACAAATAAAATAGATTAAGCTTTTCACTCGGCGTTTTCATTTGCCACCGACCCCTTCGTGGTTTTGCAGTTTCTCCGTAAGAGAGGAAGCGAGGCGTAGAAAATAAAAGATACTCTCTCAAATATAAAAAGAACAATTTATTCTCTGAATAGTCGTATTAAGTAGTGCACGTATAAAATATAATATGTCCTTATAAGAAATCGTGTCTTACACTAAGTATTTACAAAGCTGACCGATGAAGGGTGATCGATCGATCTTTATCACATAGTCGTGCAGAAATATGCTTAGTCTTATTGTAATTTGTTATGGTTGAAACCCAATATTTGGTTTAGAACTCGTCAATTTTGGTTTTTAACCGAATCTTAGTCTAGCGTCTAAAGAATCGAATATATCACAAAAACGTTAAACTCTAGGTTTAATAAATTCTACGAATACTATGACTAGCGGAATGTCTTCAGTAGACAGTCCGGGGAGCATACTTTACCACATAATTCACAAGAGCACTTGTTTCGGAGATTACAAAAACCCATCTCGACGAATAAAGGACACCAACCGCCCCTTCGTCTTTTGGTAGATATTATTTAGCTATTTGAACAATATTACAGTAATATTATTCGCAACGGAAAAAGACAGCGGAGTGAATGATGTCCTTCCTTCTCGTTTAGTTCGCCCGAACTTTATATTTAGGTATTGGACGGCTCATTGTTGCAGCCTTCGAATACAATATTACAAATATTCTTTTCCACACGGAAAGGAAACAAAAGTTTAATTTTCCACGCTTCGCAACGGTCGCGGACGCTCGTTTAGCGCCTCGTGGCGCGGTGCCAACAATACTAGTTGAATGAAGATTTATCTTCGGCTAATTTCGTATTTACTCCATCCTTTTTGCCATATACGAAATGTCCCTAAAGAAACGAAAATCAGATACTGCCACGGAGCGCTCATTGATACCGATTGCATTCAAGGGCGAGTCTTTGAACTTGTACAAACCATTCGGTCATGCAGGCCTATCGAATGCCAAGATAACGGCAATGTACCTATGAAACGAACAAAGCTAGTTATCTAAATGAAACAACTAAACAACGCCACGCCAACGATGCATGAATCACACAGACATAAAAGTTAGAAAAATCATTTGCATATCGTACGTTGCGCGACGCGAAGCGAAAGGGAGCAGGTAGGTGCCGGTGGATTTTTTGCAAACTTCGTGCATTCAAACTTTCGCCTTTTATTAAACTGCCCTAAATAACCGTGTTTCCTAGAATATCTTTTATAGCTCGGTTTATCTCTTCCTTCCTAACTTGAATATTAACGCGTTGGCAAATTCACAAGTCTGTCGGATATTCTCGACCGAGGCGTCTCCGACTTTGGTATTTAGCGTTTTCTCGTTAATCGAGCGGCGTGAAAAATATTTTATAACGCGTGTTCGTCGAAACTCCTAAGTCGAGCCCGTCCAAACGCAATATTGTTCCAACTGTACAAATATCTAAACGAAGAAAACTCGTTTTGTTCCTGCCGTAAATAGTTCACGTAACGTTTCATCGAAGAATTCCTTCTGCCTAGATTACGACTGAGCTTATCAATTTGAATTAATTTCACGAAACACCGGTCGCTTCGGAAACCCGTTTTGAAAGCTAAACCTACTCAATGTCGACGCGGAACTCGATCGATTTTCGACAAAAAACTATGTTTGCGTCTTTATTTTCGGTGAAAATGTTTTTTACGCAACTAATTAATTTTAATTAGCAGCGAGTCAAGACAAAAATATTGTACTGCTCAACAGACAACGCGACTTTGCAAGATACTGTTACCGGCCTAACGGGTGCAATTAAAAAATTAAAACCTTTCTCCCCGCGACCCGTGCGACCGTAATTGACCGTCTTCAAGTGAATAAATCGAAGCACCGTTTGGCTGTCGCGAGGCGCCTCCCGCCGGCGGACTTCGGAAGAGTCTCGTGGAGCGAAGGAAGATTAAGATCAAGGTCAAAAGAATTTGCGTCCTTGAGAACTATGTACAGAGTAATCAGTCTTATATTTGAGATCGAGACGAGCCGAGCTGCGACGAGAGGTCGACGACTTAGGTCCAGACGAATATTTATAGCCATCGACCTTGAAAAGGACACGAGGCGTCTGCTCCGGCGGACTATGAAAAACAAAATCAATATTAACTTCGCTCACGTCTCCACCTCGCGAGATTCGCACTAGCCATATCTGTATTTAGGTTTCGACATTTTAATATTTTGTTTTTATCGCAAGTATTGGCATGAAATTAAAAGATTTATCGGCGGTTGTAAAAACGCAGCGATACGAGGATTATAATATTTTACGGTATACCTACGACGCTTTAAAACAATTTGCAAAATAGCACTCCTTATCGGTTTTCACTTTCGGTCGAAGTGGCTTTTTAGTTTTTCAACCGTTTCGCTATCTAATCGTTTCCCGAGCGCAAACACGCTACGATAACCATTACAGCGATGACGAGGCTTATGTAGGCACGTTTGCCGTTTCACTGCTAATTATTACAACCGAATGTAGATTAGCGAAGCCCTATCGTGAACTGTGGGCGAAAGGCACCTCTCTCGAATAAATTTTAGCGATCACATAGAGATTTAAACATTTACGCGACTCTATACCGAAAATATTTGAAATGATGCATACAATAACGGGGCCGTAAAACCTGAGGTAACATAAACAAATAAAAACTTATTTTCGTTCTCAACTACACAACATGCAATATAGAAGCGTTTATACAGCCGACCTGTCGCTGGACAATACACATAATATACTACATGTTATCTCTACTGCCACAAATAATACTTATATGGAATTATTACGGATATTATGTAAAGGAGGACAGGATGAGGGCCTTGTGTATATAGAAAAAATAGAGAAATATACAATACACTATATTTAAACATGAAATTTATTAAAAAAACATACAGTGTTCATTTACACAAAATAAAATACCTGGAGGGGACGGGGTGGAGAGGCATCGGGTCCGTCTCCGACCCCTAATACATAAGCGACAAGTGCATACATAGTCAAATAATAGAAATACCATATCATATGATAAAGTACACATATATGAAAATGTTAAGCCAACTCTACTCACAGGTAGTCATGTTGCGCTCTCGCCGGTATAAAACTATATCAAACCTTACAAAAATACTTATGTGGCTAATTTCAAATGCACATAGAGGATCTCGAGTCTCGACTACAAAAATATTCTGAGATTGGAATGAAAATCTTAAGCTTTGGGCCTCCCAACGATCACACAGGGGCGTTCAGAACGTCCCCTTAACTAGTTATTTTTCTTTTGAGTCTTAAAGTTAACAGAAAGAACCTGTCCATTGAGCGTTTGGCCGTTGAGGGATTGGATGGCCATCGCAGCCTCGTCATACTCACGCATATTAACAAACGCAAAGCCTTTGTTTTTCTTCGTCTCTGGATCTTTGATCACTTTGATTGAATCTATCGCACCGTACGGGCCAAAGAGCTGCCACAGAGCTAGCTCTTCCGTGTCCTCACCGATATTGTACACATAGACTGTGGTTTGGTGCGGTGCCGCCACTGAGCCCAACAACGGCACCGGACTCGCCGGAGCCCCTAATAACGGGATGGGCGTGTGGTTTGTGGCTGCCATCGGATTGAAACGCTGTTGTCCTTTGTTGATGAAAGGCAGAGCTTTCCCCGGCGACGGTAATAACGGAGGCGGAGAAGCCTGAGGAAATCCCGGAGCGAAAGCGGCCGGTCTCGCTCCGAACGCAGCGCTCAGATTTGTTCCGTTAAACGCTGGAGTAGTACCATTGAAGACGGCCGTCGCGCCGTTGTACGCTATGGGGGCGGCCGACATGCCTATTCTCTGAATCGGCCTCGGCGTATTCCTGTTGGCCTGTGGTTTGTTCGCGAATTTCACTAATATGGGCCCCGCGCCGGGAATGGGCGTCTGGCCGTTCATATGGCTGATCGCGTCTTCGGCCTGCTGTCGGCTTTCGAAGCACACGAACCCGATGCCCTGCGAGACGCGACTGTTCGTGATGTTCCCAAACTGACTGAACAGATTATTAAGTCGTTCCAACGTCATGTCTGGGGGCAGGTTGCTTATGTAGAGATTCGATTCTGTATCTGGCTTATGGCTAACCTTATTCTCCGGATTGAGCAGGGCGAATGAAACTTTGAGCGTCTTGCCCTGCATCAGTAGGCCGTTGAAGGCGGCTCGCGCCTTCTCGGCGTCCTCGTGTTTCTCGTACTCCACGAAGCCGTACCCTCTGTTGGCTATCAGCTTGCAACTCTCGATCTTTCCCATCGCAGAGAACAGCGCGTACATCATGTCACGCGTCATGAGCTCCGGAATATAGTTGACCATGAGTTTGGTCGGTGACACATTGGCGTCGACGCCGCCATTCTCGTTCATTTCGTTTATCATTGTTCTTATTTGTTCACCGACTACACTACTAGAAACAAAATACTAAAAATTAACACCGACTGTGATCGTTTAATTCATTTGCAGCCTTTATAATTAATCTAGAACAAACAAAAGAACCCAAATTGTACGAAAAAGCCAACTACACGACGCCGGTTCACAAGTTCATCATAGCACCGCTCACTAACAACTCGAACAAGTTTGTTTTGCAAATGTTACCAGAATGCTTTTAAGGCCGCGAGCGATTTTTAGCCACTTTCTACTTATTTTAAGATATTCATTACTTATAGTAAAACGTAAATACACGTGCTCAATTTTTCAATAAATGTCAATTTGATTTCAATTAACAACTTTTTATAAAAATACGTGGCAAGCAGCAAGAATGTCTCAATATGAATGAGAATACCGATTATTTTTTATCTCTGGTTAGTTAACTGCTGTAGTATAAAAGTGTTCTATATAATTATTTGTATGTACAGAGTCAAGAAAAATTAAATTATTCGTATAATAATCACAATTTTTTTATTTTAATTGTAGCAATAGTGTGTTTGTATTAACATCTTCTTGTAAAAATTAGAAACTGTGAATTGCATTGCCCATCCTTACGGTTCTACCAACCGTAATCGTAGAAATATAACCTGTACGATACTGTGATCAATATCTGTGATACGTATGGTCAATTTATGTCAATGTCAAAGATTTATATTTCTTTTGCAATTTAGTTTTATTATCAGCTGTGTTTTACTTTATCAAATTTGAAAACAAATATAAGTCTTGTTCTAATCTATGTTAAAAATTCTTGACACAAATATACTGAAATCAAATTTTTAACATTTTAAAAGATGTTTATAACCAATACACTGCTAAAAAAAGCGAAAAGCAAGTGAGTACTTAAAATAGTTTCTTTTCGATTCAATAATTAGCACTTTTAAAAGTAACTAAATTTTTATTTAACAGACACATTATGGTTTTGATGGAGAGTGTAGTATCGGGACACAAATTTAATTACATTCGGGAGCGGCTTGCAGATAAGTTGGAGCTTATTCGATTTGACCCATATAGTATGTATAAATTATGTTACTATATATAAATATATTTTATAGCAAGGACTGAAAAGTGGGTTTATTAATATTAAAAGTATCATTGTATAAGCACCAAACCACTGCATTGTATGTATAACCTATTTGTGTATGTTATGCTATGTTAAGTCAGCACAATAACTTTGCCTTTACAGTAAAATTTGCTTGATACATATATGTCGTCTAATTGGGATTGAAGCTTTTTGTTCTGAGTCCTTGATATCTTGAATACCTATTTTTGGATAAAAAGAAAACATTGTTTCAAAAACTGTAAACAAATTGTGGCCCAATATTACTACACAAATCTTCAATATACCTATTATCACAATTTTAACATTACAAAGAAGATAATTATCTATTTTCCCTATAGTGAAGGTTCTTTCTCATATAGTTAGCCATTATTACTGGAATCTCCCATCTCCCTCTTTTACTTTGTACTTAAAATATATGCTTTATCTCTGTTTCAGTACAACAAGAAAGTCTTTACAAAGAAAGGAAGAAAATAAGAAGTATCAAGAAATAAATGTAGACATAAGTTTTATAATAGTTTAATATAGTTGTATTTGAAAACCATAAATAAATGTTTGAATCATTTTACTTTTATTTATGTCATGGAAAGTGGATTTTACATTGCATAAAATATCTAGGGAAGCCTAAATGTATCTGGGGAGGGCATTGAGCTGCTCGGGAACTATAAATATGTCAATACAGGGTGAAATGCTTTATTGAATTGTATTTTAGAATATATGCTTTACATGTTTACCTTATGCCCTACTTGTATTAAAACAATTGTGTGGAATTTTTAAATGAGGTGCAATTCAAACATCAATACTGATCATAAATGCTTAACAATAACAATAATTGATACATCCAAATAGGCCCAAATATTATATAAATAATTTTTCAATTCAATGCATAATTTAAAAGACAAAGAAAACTCTTACACTATTCTCACTATATTTCTATTGCTAAAAGATATAAATGATAACAATATATTAATATTTATCATGCATGTACTCCTTGGCTCAATGAAATTGACTAGATTACAATAACATACTTAGGCAAAACATTTTCAAGAATATACTTAAGTACATTTTGTATTAAATATATACCAATATATTAAATTTAAGAAGAACTAAAGGTTTCATAGTAACGTTGGTCCACTAATGATGAAGACTAATAAAATTAATTAAATTTCTGTCCATAGAATAAAACGATTTAAAATAGATTTTATACCCGTACATAGAACAATCATTTATTAATTATTTACGAGATGTTGTAGAACAACAAGTTACTAAAGAAACATACATTCTCTGTAATGCCTAGAAATATTCCTTTATTTATTTAATATTGTACTTATTACATATTACAGGTTCTAGAGACCTTGGCGATTTAATCTACATGTACTAATTTCTATTACTCTTTATACTTAGTATTTTTTGGTTTTATACTTTAGAATTTGACGCTGAACAAAAAATTAAGAACATAATATACAATTGACTATAAATACTTACTTATACATAATAAGTACCAAATAAAATCTACTGAAAAGTATACTTTTGACAGAAATACCTAGAGTAATTTCGTATATAACTGAATACTTACAGTTAATATTGACAGTTATAGAAGGAACATCTTTATTAAGTGTTATTCACTAGTTTTAAAACTTAACAACTTCGAAGTTATTTAAATTGTAATGATATAAACTAAGTTGAAGTCAGTTAAGAAATTAGTCAGTTTGTTAGCTATTGGATAGCACAGACAATGAATAATATAATTGAGTAACAAGGTGTTTCTATATATTTTTTAAAAGGTAGGTACGTATTATGGCTACTGGCACCAAATTATTCAGTTTAAAGGTATATACTTGTATCCAAGTAATATAACTCTATTAATCAAATAAGGTAAAACTTAACAAATAATGGAAATAGCCTGGGCTGGGATTCAGCCTCATAAACGACTAACCTTTGAAATTATATTTTGATTTCAGAATATATTTCACAATAAATTATTTATTGAACTCCTGAAAATTTAGACCAGGAGCCTCCAGAGCTTTAAATCCGGTACTCGATTACCGTATCCTTTATTTACATAAATAGTAAATGAATAGGTGATAAACCACAGATTAAATTTCAGCTGAAAAAACACGTCACAGATAAAACTAGAGATCACTTGTCACTTGTCAAGTCATTTGCTCAATCAAGGGAGCAATGTCGGGATACTTTCATGCGAAGAATTCCGCTTTGCTCGCCATATCAAATTCGGATTCCTCCATTTTATACATCTCGATCAGCTGAAACAACATGATAATTTCTCTCTCTTTTTTTTCACTAGGTCAGTTTGAAAAGAGATATTGAAATGTCTGCTCTACTTTATTTCGTATATGAGTTTATAAAATGCACAGATTGCAATAAGTTATATATTTTAAATGGACTCACGTTATCAATATCCTTTGATAGGTCTTCCACTTGCTTGTCATGTGACACCTTTAGCTTTTCCTTTTCACGGTTTTGTTTAATTGTCTGAGTCTAAAAAAATAATCGTAATATCATTATGGTAATATGGCGTGGTCTTTCTTTACAAAAACCAGTAATAAAAAAACAAACTTTAAAACAATGTCAGTTATTGAAGGAACAAACATTTCTTAATTTAAATCAGGTCTAACATTTTTCTACAAGAAAATAAAGATCGCAAAATTCCGTCCTGGTCACGGATTCCCAACGACAAATGGGACAAATATGACGATGGCACATCTTGTTTATGATCCTAATAATATAGTACAAGAGTTTGATAAACTAAATACATCATAGCGCTTGATAATATATATTTTACAACTATACCTTTTTTTCGTCCATGAACTTCTTGATGTTATTCTGTTTCTTCTCTCTTAGTCGCCTGTCTTTCTCCTGTTTGGTTTTCAGAGTCTTGTCGTTCGCAACTTCCTTACTAGTCTCCACACTAATCTTCGCTTGACGTGTGTTCATTTCTTTTAATTCCCTATGAAGTCATCATTTTACAATTAGATTTGTGGTTTTTCTATGGTCTAATAAGCCAGCCAATACAGGCAATAATAGGAAAGTTATTACATGATTTAAATTTTTTTCTTAGTCTTATACATTAACATTTTTGGCACCGTGAGATTTAGAAAATAGAAAAAATAATCCTGCTCGAAGGACCAACCTCTCGTGCTTAGCCTCTAGTTGCTTCATCTGTGACAGTTGTGTCTGCTCCATCATCTTCTTAAGCAGTTCCCTCTGGTCATCTAGTCGAGTTCTAGCTGCGGCGCACTCCTCCCTCCTGTGTCGCGATACCAGCTCGCTCCAAGCAGCCGATTGCTCGGTGACGAGGTTCCGGAACGCCGTGTCGTTGCTAAGTTGTTCCTTGCTGCAGGATTGATACATATAGACAAATTGAATATTACTTTTATAATGAATTGGTACCAGCTTGACATGCTTTAATTACCTTTAAACATAATCGAATCAAATGTAACTTATCGCCGTACTATTGGTAAAACGGAAGAACGCAGCAGTAAAGGAAAAATCTTAATTTTTTCTGTGACTTACTTTTAGCATGGCTCAACAAACTGAATTTTGGTTTTAGCATAATGTGATACGACCAAAAGGATATTTGTATTCGACTTCCAAAGGTCTTCTGGTCAAACTGTTTATAGATATTTTTTGGATGAGGGCTTATAATGCATCTTATAACTAAATAGAAGCCAAATACGAACGAATTGACACGCAATATATAAACTTAACTAAGAGCCGACGTTTAGTGCATATCGCGTTTTAAACAGCTAAAAGTATTGTTTTTAGGTGTCAGCCTCTCGACCATCTTTTTTTATAATATATATAAACTCACTTTTTCCCTTTAATCATCTTCTCCAAAGCCGCGCACTGTTGCTTTTGTAAGAGCATCTTCTCTTTTGCGTGTCTTTTTCTCATTGCTTCTAGATCCTTCATTTGCTTCTTACCAGTTTTCAGGAAACCCTTGTCTTGACGTAAAGATTCCACCGTTATCGGTTCGAAGACTAAGGGTTCTGGAAAAATTAAATTTTTCTTAGTGACAGGAGCGACAAAAACACTTAGCAGTAGGTACAAAAAAGTGAAATCCCAGATTCTTCGTGGGGACATGGGGCGAACGGTCTACAGTTTCCCCGCGATTCGAACCCAGGATGGCTGGCGCTTAATGCGATGCTAGGCAAGACGTTTAACCTTTTAGCTTGAGTATATGGGCAAGACAAATTTTTAAATAAAGTTTATATTATTCAATAAAAAAACTGTAACTTCATCACTCATCGCAAATTAGTGAAAAGAGTCAGATTTATTTAATAACTTATGTAAGAATATTCTTAAAAGACAAGAATTCGCTGCGTTATACGATAAATTTGTATGTAGTCAATAATAGTGATGAAATAAATTTAATAATGTGCAGATAACGTCCGTTACCGAAATAACTATCAAAACTAGATCAATGACAACATCTGATATAAAAACGTTCCGCTTTGAATTTCATTTGATAGGTTTGTTGATAGCAGTAAAAAGCGTAGGGTATGGAGTCATTAAACAGTGTTTACAACAAAAAAGTCAAGTGACGTTTCTGTTTTTTTACATGCCGAGTTGCTACAAACTTCATACTATCGGTATCAATAAAGAAATTAATGAAAAATAAGAAATACATTACAAACCAAATCTAGTTTTATAAAAATGTCTAAATTGGTAGGTACTGATTTAGACATTTTTATAAAACTGTTAAAGTAACTTTTTAATAATAATAGTTTAAGTTACGCTTAAAACCCATTACTGAGTAGTTGTCGTTGTTTTACTTGGTGCCGATTTAAAAATTATAAAATATATATATGAAATTATTCCATGTAACTAAAAAAAAAAACCTATTACTTTATGCGAAGTTATTTTTATTTACTATTTGAAGCCGGTTATTTTTTGTGATAAATTATGTTCACTGAGCTCTACTTAATAATACTTGTATCATTTAAAAATCACTTTGGAACCTACCTTTGTTATTTTTTATCCAATTCATATTTTTACCACCCTCAATTCACTAATTATTTAATTAACACATAGTCACAAGCGTCGCGGCCAGAGAGGACGACATCTCTTCACTAACGTAAGAAGTGAATGTTGCTAATGTATTAAAAATATTCCACAAGTGACGAGAAGAAGCGTTTTTATATGAATTTTAAATACTCATAAAAAAAGTCAATTGGGCGCGACATCGTAACGCAAAAAAGGTAAAAAGTACTAATTTATTACTCTACTCGTCTACATGTCTGTTAGATCATGATTATTTTTATCTGTCGTTAAATTAGTCCATATAGTTTTGTCTATATTTTAATAGATATTAAATTCAGACTTGAAATTATTGACAGCGTACATGTGTATGATACTGTATGGTAAATTGCTTGACCAAGTTTTCTTTTTACAAAATTAAATTAGTTAAATATATATTACTAGTGTCTGTAAATCACTTCGCTCAAAGCTTCTTATTATTTCCTAAACGATTTAAGTAACAGCATTTTCGTGTTATCTACATGAATGTATCTCAACTTTAAGACGCCAGCATTATAACTTAATACTATTAATAATATCCATCCGAATGTACGGCATTGTTTTGCGAAGTATTCATAATTTGTTGAGCCGGCGTATTTAACAGTTTCTAAAAAAATACCAAAAATCGCTCAATCGCTTAATCCTCATCACTTGCACCATCCAGGCTACAAATATAAGACAGATATACAACAGATCATCTCGAGTCCAGGCGTTCGTAAATGAGAGCTATTTGCGGTGTTGGCGTGTTGTATACATTTTATAAATACTTTAACCTGCTCGCGGGCAGACTTCAACTTTGAGCTTTACCTTGGCGCGAGTTCATCTGTTTAGTTTCGTTTGAAATTCGCTATATACAAACGAAAAGACCGATGATTATGAAATGGATTTTTTAGCTTTCGTAAATCATTGGTAAACCTCCTCGTTCAAATAACAAACGCAACGGTGGTTATATAGCCACAAAAAAGTTAAATTCAATCTTAACTGCATGTTATTTATGTAGAAAAGATGTTGTAACTACCCATAAGGCCATCGTCGTATAGATATTTGAAAACTTTAATTTTTTTCACATGAAGGTACTGTATAACTTAAAAATCGAAAATACATTAAACATATTTTCGACTCGGGCAGGACTTGGACCGGCATCGTCAGAGTTCCGTGCTGTTGCTCTACCAACTCAATTGGTAGAGCAACAGCACGGATGTATAGATATATATTGTGCATTAAGTTTGTGGTTTTTAAATACTAACCTTCTTTCTTCTGTTCTGGTTCCGCTTTCTTCTCAGGACCACTCTCTTCTATGCCCATGGCCTTCATGTTGTCTGTCCTCTCCTTCGCAGCGCCCATGAACGCTCGAGGGTCAGACAGGGCCGCCATGAAATCTTTGAACAAAGATGGTATTTAATAAAACAAAGTCTTTCTTCTTATGTTTAAATAAAACACTTCAATAGTTTAAAACGCGTTATTCTCGTACATTAGTTTAATTTATTTGGCAATTATTTTAACTGCGATCCGACGTTTCGAATACTTTGCAGCAGCCGTGATCGCGAAAGACACTATCTAATATATTTCGTGTTTCAAATCCTTAAAGTATTTTATTCAAAAGTACACTACTCGCGTAAACTACAGACAGTATCTAAAACGTGTATGTGTTTGCTACCCGGGCTACGTGTATGGTTATCATTTTGACGTATTAAAATATTAAACTTATAACTATACATATATAAATTGTGAACCTACCCTCAAATCCATCAGGTACGTAAATCTTCAGCTCAATATTACAGAAGAGCATAGGCAAAGACATGGGGAAGTTGGCTTCCGTCCTGAGCGAGATGTGGCGATACCCAGCCTGCAGACCGTCCAGCGGCAGAATACGTTGGCCGAGGAGTTTTCCATTCTCATCGTAAACTCCGAAACGAAGCACAGCCAGATCCGGGAGCACGACCTATATTACGTGGATATGAATATGGGAAGTATATAAGAGAGAAAACCTCTACAGAAGAATTTATATGTAGGTAGTTGCACCGAAGGTTCAGCTTCGGTCCTTTTTCGAAGTTGGTTCATTGACCGAATGGTCGGCTACCGAAGCCAAAGAAACTAAAGTGATTAGTGAAAACTGATGTGTCTCTAAATTTAAGGTTTATTTTTTCTATGTATAGATATACCAGTGATTGGAGAGAACCAACAAACATTTGAGTGGAAAACTAACTTTTCTGAACAAGAACGGTTCCTCGTTGTAGACCGGGTTGAGTCCGTTGGCGGGCACCATTCGGGTACGGAACTCCTTACGGATCGTGTCCGTGGGCAACCCGTACATGTCCACTTCCACGTACGTCCCCACTTTCTTGTCCGACAAGAACTGCCCGGCTATCACCTGTACGAGAAAATATACAATGAACAACTAATCAAGAGTGTTGGTGTATAAAATCTAAGTAAGGAGGTTGTGGACATTTGAATTAAACACTTTTAACGGTTTAAAACGCGAAATATGTTCATTAACTTCTCTAACTCTCTTCGTGATCATAGTCGCTGCATAGCGTCCGAAAAGTCGGGCCGTTAAATAAGTTAACTAATAGATTTTCTGTTTTAAGCCGTTAAGTGATTTACTTAAATGTATAAACGACAGGCAATAATTAAAAACGATTTACCTGCACAGCACATTGTGCAGCAATCACTCCATCCACTGGCGCGTCTGCGAAGGGATCAAAGCTCCTGTCAGCTCGTCTCATGAAGTCCGGCTTTAACAGATACCCACAGTTTCCGTTGTACTCGAATTTACCCTGGTTCAGCTGCATTGGCAGGTCGGAGGTCTGGAAGTTCAGGGATACCATCTGGCAGCCCGCGTTCCAGAAGACCTGTAATTTACAATGTAAATTAAATGCTGTAGAAATGTCAAAGTTGAAACTGCAACGCTGGCGCCATCTGGTGCAGCAATATTGATGTTTTGTGGAAACTGCTAAGTCTTGACCATTGGTGTGGCGTTAAATTTCATGTTTTAAACTGATAAAATGTGACCAAATTGTTTTATAATTTTGAAAATATATACTTCGAAGTATTGGAAACGTAAGATTTGATCTCCAAACCATTTCATTTCAATGTACAGACCTGGGGCATATAGTTAGACGAGTCAGCCCTGGTTCCCTTAGGATAGATTCGGGACATTTGCCGCTTGTTGTAGTTAACGAAGTCGATAGCCTGACTCTTGAGGTAGTTCATGCCTGTTGTTTCAGCGAACGACGACATGTTGTGGTGGATGTTACGCTCTGTAAGTATTAAGGTGTTTTAAAAGGACAGCTGACAAAAGTTGGCTTCCGAGGAGATTTATACTCAAACCGGGGTTCCTGTTAAGTTGTGAGTTACAAAAAACTTTACGACACGGCAAGCCTTGAACCGGCATTCACAGCGGCCCGAGCTGATGTAATCAATGGAAAAAATTCGACGATGACGTGACGGTAGCCCAATTGGTTAGTGCAACAGATTTTGACGCTGCGGATGTCGGTTCAAGTGCTGGACGTGTCGTATATTAAAAAAAATCTAAAATCAATTTTAATTATATAATGTCATCATGTGCAATGCCATGTGAAGAATATTAAATCTTTCAAAGCTATAAGTATCATAAACATAATACATTACATTGTATTATGATTAAAATTTGTAACATAATCGAAGCTTCATAATCAACCTCGTGTTTAGAGTAATCCACAACTACTTTAAAACACGATTACAAATGCTTATTATTACAAAAGTACAGGCACGTCCTATTAACGGGGCGTAAGACAAACACATTATTGTGTCCGTTTTACTAATCCATTTTTAGAAGCATAAAATATTTAGTCAGTTGATGTTTATTAGTCAATTAAGTTTAACTAACAGTTGTTGTTTTGATAAATGAATTGACGTCCTGCTTTCGTTTCTACTCTCACCTAAAAAGTAACTATGTATTTGATAATTGTCATTTTTACTTACTCTCCGCCTCCTCAAAGCTTATAAACTTAATGGGCTGCGCGTAGTTGACCATAGAAGACAGCCAAGGGTGCACATTAGTTGTGGAACCAGTGTATTGGACCGGTGGTGGGGCGTCGTCACCAGCGGCCGCTGCTTCCACCACTATCTCTTCAGGCTGAAAGTTAGATAAGGAATTAGCTCAAGAAACCTTTAGATACTAGCATAAATAATAATAGACGACAAGCTCCGTTGATGGAAGGTAAAACACCCAAATTAAAAGCACATAGATAGCAAACACATTTGCTTTGAATATGTAATCTATAGACTGAAGCCGAAACGCGATTAAGCTTTACGGATTTTTCATCTGTAGACGGTGATTCGTGATTTCGACAGAATTTTTATAGTTTTACTACACGTTTAAAATTCAGATTTCCAGACTTTGTCTCAAAAAAAAATATTTTTTTTTAAATTTTAAATTTGTTTTACATTCCATATCGTTACATCAAGTAAAACGCAAAACTCATAACTTCTAACCCCGAAGAAATAAATAATTTCTATTAATACTTGTTTACTTTATGCCCTAAGATATAAGCAAACTTACTTTCTTATCCTCTGGCAGCGCGACAGCGGATGCGTCTTCCTTAACTTCGTCCTCAATAACGAACTGGCCCTGCCGGAACAGCTCCAACTCCTGTTTCTCTACTTCGGGTTTTAGCCTCTTGTTCTTGATCATGATCTTACGCTTCAAAAGACAGGGTGGGGGGAGTGCTGCGCCTGGTTCTAGCTGAAAAGTTTTAGTTTTTATGAGATATTTTTCTCAACATCGTATGGTAAAGGTAAGCTCAATCAGTAGAACTCTGTAGATACAGGTTGTTCGAGTCCTGTATGTGTCGTCGCTATTTTCAATCCTAACTTTTTTTTTCTTCCTTATATTTGTATAATGTATTTTTTCGTACTTGGCATTTTTGTTAAACAAATACACAATTTACATGCAATCGTGATGTTTCACAGGGTTTACATTAATTTACACTAAATCCACTTTGAGACACTGGATTTAATGACTACCTCAAATTCACTTAGTGTAAATCACAATTTCCTGATAAAATTATTAAAAATTCACAGATTTAAATTTCTTTAGTTTGTCATTTACATAAGGATACGATGTAAGCAAAGTCAACGGCTATAATATAAGGTAGAAGTCCCAGACGTGCGCGATCGATGAAAAGCGTTACAAACGTCGCATTCATTTGTTGCGGTCTTTGGCCAAGTAAGAAAAATACACTATATTGTTTTTAATACATTCACAAAGTTACAGCATTCTTACTGGATAATCCGGTAGGGGTTCCTTCATGAGTAAATCGCCGAGGATCTCGTCACAGTACTTCGCCAGCTTATACTGCTGCGCCTTGCAGCAGTGATTCTCAAAGGAGAGGATCACTGGGTAGTCTGAAGTCACAAAGGCCGTGTCTCGAAGCGCATAGATCACGTCCTTGAACAAAATGTCCGTACACATCGCCATGCCGTGAGTAATTATTGGTTCTTCATCTTCGCCTTTACCGTCCCAGCAGTCCAGTTCCACGCAGCTGAAATGTATGTGCGGCTTTATCAGATACTTTCTTTTAACTACAATCTTACTAATGATGTTTGTGAGCAAGCCGATACATCATGGACTACTTATTCTAGGACAAATGATCATTATTTCTTACCGGCAACCAGCCAAAAGGACTTGTCTGTACATCTCCACGGAGCTCTTCCCTCCAAACTGTCTCCCGGAAAGGTAGGTGTTGTGTGACGAGTTGATGTAGTAATGGGAGAGGGGTTGATCCATCTCCATGTAGAAGTCCAATCTGTCCAGAAATACAGGCGCGTTCTCGTCCGACATTAGGTATCGAATCAGACCGTCCTTTGTCAAACATTCTGGAATTCAAGGATACTGTATTATGAGAATTCTGGTAACAGAGGCGACTGTCGTGGGTGCGAGGTCCTGGAGTATATTTATTGTTAATTTTCTAGACATTAATTATTTGTCAATGTGTCATACTTATCTCGAAAAATATATGCTGACGATGTTTGATATAAAGATGAATATTTCATTTATATGGGAAGTTGATAAAACTTAGCGAAGCTATTATAATTCTGGAGCATACTCACTGGCAGCTTTAGCCTCTTCGTTCTGTTCGTAAGTATCGATAATCTCGACGGCTCGCTTGTCTTCGTACAGTGGGTAAAGGATTTCATTAAGGCGTGGATCACGCTGCTTTTCATTGAGGAAGATCACGAATTGCTCCAAATTGATTCGATCCGATTTGCCCTGCGTTCTGGAAATGTAACGACTCGTAAATCAAATACTGTATTATACGAGTAATCAGTTATCAATGTTTTAGTGTTCCTCTCTTTCGTTGAAGACGTTTACATTTATACCGATGGAAAATTCAATAATCACCAAGATATATCTAAAATGTGAGGTATAAAAAGTGTTGTACTCTTTAGAGAAAGTGTGGTCTTGTGCTTGTTGAATAAATAGTAATAGTAAATCTCTTTATTTGGCATTCATTAGTACTAGTACAGTAAAATAATACAAAAAAAAATATGTATTTTAAAGAAAAGTGTAGCTGAAAGGGTCTTGCGTCAGCATAAGTTGCAGCACGGTTATGCTACGACACTGATTTTCGGCAAAACCCTAATAAATAACGCGTAGTATTGTTATTTTTTGGATGATTTACATGGAGCGTATTACCTCAACTCACGTACAACAACGTACGCTCACAAGGATAGATTAACTATCTGCTGTATACGCAAAATTGTAATCCAAAAATTATTTTATTTTACTTACATAGTCCTAAACAATTCTTCGATATCATTCCTGGGGCAGATCTTGTGGTAGAGCGCGTAAAATTTGTCAAACGTGAACGCCTCTTTTTCCATAGCTTCGTTCTTGCCCGCGGGCAAGCCGAGATCAGAGAGACATTGGTACACCAGTTTCTCCGTCTTGCCGGAGGCGAAAGTTCTCGCGACCACCTTCACTGGAACCTTGCCTTTTGGGTCTGTTAGGAAACTTAGACGCATCCAACTAGAGAAAGCAAATATACGCTTATTAGACATTTTCAAATAGTCAGGAGGGACTGCCCCCTACCCACCATTGACTACGGCTTCAGCAACAAGTTAATAAAGTAGTAATTAAAAGTAGTTCCCTCTATCGGCATGATATGTATTTCTTAATATCCTTCGATCGATGTTTCATTGATAAATGACTGGGGTTCGATTCCCCATGACACATTTTCACTGTTGAACAATGTAGAATACTTACATGAAAGATTATAATATGTTTTAATACAACAACAGGCTTTCAACATCAAAGAGGCTTTTAAGGCAAACGTTGCCTCAAGATAAAAGGCTTTAAGAGTCGGTATAAAAGCTATAACATTAAATATGCATTACAAATACGGATTATAAGAATACTTCACGAACATCTGACCTGAACGAAATGTATTTACAGTGTAGGTATACTCGAAAACCTTTATGGAAGATGACCATTTTTTTATGAAAATCGATTTATAATCTGTGAAAATTCCGATAAAACAAATATGTGTAAGAATGAAATTGTAGTTTGACAGGCCCGATAGTTCAAAATCTATTTTAGATTGAATTCGATTTCCACCTGGTACAACATTTTTCAGAAAATTTATTTATAATTTTTCTTCTCACATCGATTGGGAAAAGCTGGACATGAAATTGGCAGATATATCGAAAATTCAGCCCGTGTCCACAGATAAAAAAATCTGAGAAGTGTCTGTAAGTATCTGAATTTTCAAAGCCAAAAAGCGATAGTGCATCGTTTTTAGATGTTATCATAAAAAATAAACAAAACATGTTATCATTTTCTCCTATGCTGCTTTTGTTACGGGTTCATTAGCTAGAAAACGAGCATTTTCAAATAAACGCGATTAACAAAAGATAATAATGTTTTAATCTGATAAAGAAAACATTTCACGACATTGTTAGCCACGGACATTATTTACTTTATTAGCGATGCCCCGAGGCGAGGGGTCATTGTCGTTACGTCGTGTTTACTGTACGTGGATTATTTTCTATATTTATTTGAAGCGCAAAATCGAATGAAGTCTTGGTAGAACTTCTTTCAAATCGATTCCTTTTTGAGAATTCTCTTCTTCTTAACATTGTTTCTTTCTACCTTCCACCAGGGACGTACTTATTGAATTCAAAATTGGGAAACTTCATAATCAAATATTTGTACTTACTTTACAATTTCTCTAGTAATTGTTCTTCGAAATAATGTTATCTTTGAGAAACATTTAATTTAAGTCCTCACCGCAGAAACATATTTATAACTCGCGAATTTAATCAAGGTAAAACAAAGCGCCTGCTTACAAAGTGAAATCTTCAATTTGCAAAACAATTGTTTTAGCTTCTATTTGTTCTTTTGTTATTCTGACTTCTTGGTGCTATTAACCAAATGAATTTGTTTTTTTTCTTTAACACCAGCTTTCCACTAAGGTTAGATTTAAAATGCGATCTATATTAAATTTATTAACATATTTTCTGAAAAATCGTTTGACCCAGCGGATTCGAGTCTTGTCTGTCACATTTTCGTTCAGATCAGATAAAATGAATACGTACTGTTTCATGAGGTTGGTCCTTGGACAGCAGTTGTTAATTTTGTTATTGTGTGTTATGTGCCGGAGGCCCTCCTTCCATACCTTCACAGAAAAGCATCATGCATGCATGCGCTGATCTTTGCATATAGTCTGTCACTACTTATACATGCATGTTGGGTTGGTATCAAAACTAAGAAGCTAATGTCGATCGATATAATCAACATTTTGAAAACTAAATTTTATATCAATAGGAGATTCAGTGGACTTTTAAGTTAATATTAGCAATTCTCACAAAACATACCACAAATATATCATATCTAAAAATCGAAATATTCTTAAACAAATAGAAGCGGACTCAATTATGTATTTATTCTTATAAGAAGCGGCCACTTGTATTGTAATCCATCGTTTTAACTTTCAAATCCATAGTTCGATGCAACTAAACTATTCCAATGTATGGTAAGCCGACCAACTGTATAATTCAGGTTTTGTGTTTACAGAATGTATGCAAAGGTCACAGAAGCAAAATAAAAATAATACAGATAAAAAAGTAAAGAGTGCTCCCGCTATTCAATTAATAAAAATAAAACAACAGAATTGTATCGCTTATATAATAAAATATTTTTTCATCGCGCAACATAGAGGCATACTCGAGTTTAATTCAATTCGAGGGTCAACTTCTATATGGCCTATTGACTCCTAATATTACATTGCGCTTTTCATCGATGAAAAAGATCTTATTTGTAAAATAGATAAGTATATATATATTTCATAACAATATAATGCATAACGTTAATACCCAAAATCCAGAAAAAGCTGAAATAATAAGTTATTAAGTAGAACTCCATAACTGCTTGCACTATGAAACACTAAAGGAGATCACATTGTAGACGACCATTACATGCAATAAAAAACAAAATGTTTATAATGTAGGTTAACTTTGTTGTGCCGTAAACTAATTTGCCACGTTATAAAAGCGTGAAGTTATTTCAAAGACATGCAAAAGTAAGGAAAATAACGATCAAAGTTAAACATTCCACGCGTAAGCATCCGACCGGGGTAAAGGAAAAGTGAAGCTTAGTACTTTTCTTATATTTTCAATATTACGAAAATTGATGTTCTCTTTAGTGACGATAGCAATAAAATTCATTATAATTTTGGATGATGTCATCCATGCAAATACCTAAGCTAATAATTGCGTCTTTATAGAATAAAACTGAGTAACGTAGCGTTATAAAGGAAAGTGTTTCTTTGGATTGAAATTAAAATAACCCGAAGGTGGCTTTGTACTGAGCTTCACCCTCCTACTTCATCCTGGTTAGTCGCGAAGGCGTCAAAGAGCCCGACTTACTGTTTCTTGAGACACGTCATCGGGCACACGTTGTTCGCTTTCACGTTGTGAGTGATCTTTCTGAGACCCTCCAACCAGACCTTGCGACAATTCCACAATTATTCCACCAGAAAGATCACGGTCGCACCCGCGCCGAAAGCGGATTATACCACATTAAATCGATAGACCTTCTCATTAGCGTTTAACATTTTTTATCAATAAAATTACAATAAATGTTTGTCAATGCGTTCTGCTTAAACATTAAATTTTCGACGAGCACAATTTTATTAACAATAAAAGAACAGTTTGCTTGAAAAATGAAGTGTTACGATCAAACGAGAGGACTCTAGCAAAAAAGGTATAAAAATCAATGAATTGTTTGCTATCCGTAAAAAATAATAATGCAGCATAGTACTCGTTAATTAGAAGAATCTCAAATTCTTAGAGTAATTAACATTTTACGCAATATCTCACTACTGAGCACAAGTTCTCTCATAGGAGAGGGTTTAAAAGCTGGCGGGCTTTAACGACTATCGCCACCAAATTAGTTGTCTTAACATCCCTTAATTCGAAACTCAAGCCGGTAAACCGATAGTTTTCTTGAAAAAATCTAAACAAGAAAACAACATTTTCACCAAGTCGGAATTGGAACCCTGTCATCTCTATGAGGATTCCGCATATTTAAATAATTAAATTTATTAAGTTAATATTTCTTAAGCTGAACTCACCTTTGCAGTGTTGGCATCTGGGCAGACCACGTGCTGGTAGTTGATATTAATGTAGTCTGTACCGCTGCATATTGTCAGGGATTTGTCTTCCAGGTCTTTGCCATGCTTGGTCGTTAGTTTATCGTTTAATTTGGTATCCTGTTTAAAGGTAAAGATTACTAAATGGGACCAATCTTAGAAGCTTAAAATTTTAAAATTTTGGTCTTAACAGTATTCTAAATGAAACTAAGAATTTCTCAGTGACAGCAAAAGTTAAGTTTGTCTTTTAGTTTTTTTTTTCAGTATGTGTATCCGACATCAGATCCTCGTCGGAGACGCTTTGTCACAGGACATAGGTAAAAGTCTTACCTTTGGCACCCCTCCAGACCTAATATCGCTGACTTGGCACAATTCTATCACGTCACCGTCCTGAAAATAAATCACGCATTTAGAAGGCTTTTGGCGTAATCCATCGAACGTCTGACACGTTCCCAAAAAGCGAATCCCTGTTAATGGAGTAGTCGGGAATTGACGGAGGATATTGCGGGTCCCATTCGAATACGACGGATGGCTTCGATTATTTTTAGCCTTATCCAACGCATTATTGAGTTGTAGTGTGCGCGCACCTTTATGCGGTGTCATGTTGCGAACGTTGCCTTTTTTGTATACTTGGAACGTAAAAAGTATATTTTATATTACAATGAGCTTTGAATGAGGAAGGTATAGTATGATAGAGAAGGACAGACAAAAATGGACCCCTTACATTACTCCAACATCAAAGTAAGATATGCCGTCGACCTTTTCAGAATTCGAGAATGAAACCGAACCGTGGATTCACAATTCACGGGTTTTGACGCGGTGGAATGTTTTAATATTCTTACTACCATTTGATTGTAAGTTTTTTTTTAATTTCCGATGAAAATCGAAATATTTATTTTCTTATCATTGGAACAACAAGCCTGTTTTATAATAATGTTGTCACGCTGCTTCTGTCGTTATATAAATTTAAACATGAAAAGACAAAATATCTAAGTGATTCAAATTTCACTAAAATACTCATTGCAGAGGTAATCCATCAATCAGTATTTTTATAGTACTATTGTTTCAACGAATATAATTCTGACCTTTGCGTATTTAATACAGAGCAAGAGCTTGAGTCATTTTCATTAAAAGGGAGAACAGTTTCCTTCCATAACGACAATAATATCCGTCTGTATCGAGTTCCTCAGGATATGAAGGTTCTTGTGCGATGCTAGTATAAAGTAGTGGGGGATGGGGCAGGCAGCTAGTTAGCTAGCTAAATAGCTTTAGTGCTCCCAGATCGATATAAGTTACCGGGTTTTGTTCGAAATTTGAACCTTGGACATTCCGAAGTTTTTAGAAGAAAAATTTAAAGAACTTTGATTTTTTAAAGCAAATAAGCATATCATATATTATATTTACATTTATATAAATATTTCTATATTTATAATAAGGACATAAGATTGTATAAATAAAAAATGTTAATAGAAATATTGATAAACCGTTGATGATGTAACCCTATTACGCATTTTTTAATCATTGTAGAATATTTTAAATGTTATAAATCGAAAGTAGTTACAACTGTGTATTGTCGTTTGATATTTAAATTTCTTGTAATATCAGCCTGTCGGATGGATCGTCAATAGTGATTTATTTTTAGATTTGATACAGCCAACTAACTATACCTACATAGTAGTAATATTGCAAAGAGGGAAGGAAAATATGATTGAAGTATGTTCGTATGTTACCAGGGCGTTGAAAAACTAAGCATTAAAAAATCTTACGGAAATAAACGGTATCAACCTAAATTCCCAATTAAAGCTAAGTGCGCCAAGTTCATTTCGCACTTCCCGACTTCTGGCTAATCAAATAAAACTTGTTTTGTCCTTCATTCGGAAATAAGGGGCTACGTCTTGCGATGAACGGTGATGAGATTTTCTCCTTATTACAATTTTTTATTTCATTAATATTCTGTTGAATTCCAACAGAAACAGAGTGTTAAATGCAAGAGCTTCTCTCATGTACTTAATGGTATAACGGTTATATTTTGTTTTTCTGTTAAAGACTAAAGCTGTACGACTGAACCAAGGTAAATTAAGAAAAACAAAACAGTCTCGAGATAAGGCAGTGAAAAACACAAACTAATACAAAGTACGAGTAATGTGGGTTAGTTGAAAGAACGAATCAAACTAGCATAATGAGAAGAACATGTAGTACTCTTCATCTCAACAGCTCTTGCCACGTACAATTCTCCTATATCGGAATATCTCATTGAATAATAGTACAAAGCAGAACAACGCGCATCACAGCTGAGGGCTGACCTAGATACGATATCTGGAGCTGTCAAACTGTCGTCTGCACAGCTTTGTTCCTATAAATGTTGCTACAATTCCCTGTCTTTGTTCTATTATTTTCGCCATGCAAACAAATTTCGTACTGGCACATAACATTTTAAATTTTAACATCTCTTGTCTATGAGAGGCATTCAAAAACTAATAACTCCTTAGGAGACACCAGTATACCACCACCATTGAGGCGTCACAAAAAGGCCGGAAGCTTAATCTTCGACAAGGGAAAGAAAAAACTTATTGTGTACGACTTTGTGAAAAAAAGTAAAGTATTTATTAATGAAGTTCGTGGATTTTACAAGTTTCTCGTATAAAAGTGAACATTATTAAAAAATGTATTCAGAATAAGTCGCAAGACGGGTAGAATAATGGACGGTAGTTCGCAACTGGAGGGTTAGCTCGTAACAGCTTGTTAGAAACAACAGGGTCGAGGGTACTTATGACCCTCGGAGACATAATAACATCTACAGGTGGAGTTTTCGCCGGAAAGGCTATAGAAGGTATTTAAGGAGCTTTTACTTCTTAGTTGGAGGAACGAAAGGAGAAAATAAAAGTGAATTACTAACTGGGGTTAATTAGGTCAAGATGTATTGTAACGGGTAACGTTTGTAACGATTTTGTGCGTGAGCCTGTAGTTATCTCTTAAACCACAGTCATAATACTGACAAAAAAGTGTTGCTTTATAATGTTTATGTTATTCTGAATAATTGTAATAATTTAATTTATAAGGGCATCAAAAATGTATTTACTCATGCCTTTGACATGTTTATAAATATTAATTCAATTCGTTCGCAGACTCTACGATGATATTTGTAGTTCTTTTTCGTAGGATTCAATTTATATTTGAATTTATACTGTAAATAATAATTATTGTAATTATTGTAGTATACTACTATTTTACAAATTCAAAACCAACACCGTGTCTTGCACATTCGTCGATAGAGGAATAAAATTAGACATTATAGGCCATTTCAGTTCACGATTCTATTTAATCGATTAGTTCATTGTAACTATTTTAGAATTCAATTATGTTACAATTGATTTATGTTTAAGCTTTTGCTTGCGTTATAGTTAGTAAGTTACTAACGCAGAAGACTAAATTACGAAATTGATTGAATAACCAAAATAAATTGTTGAACGACTCTACTTTTCGAAATACATGTTAACCAAAAAGCTTAACACAATTCGAGCCAAGGCACGCTCATGATTCAACTCAATTTCCCCATTAGGGGACGGAACGTAGGTGAAACATAATCTGTGCGAACGTGTCTGCGCCTAATCTAATTTCGCTGACTGCGATATCTTACGAGGACTGACACTGCACACGTGATGCCGCGTCGTACAATTTATTGACTGCTACATTAAACCTCTCCCCCCCAGGGTCTCAGCTACACTTTCTGGTGGATGAAAGAGGTTATATACACATAATTGTGACTCAAATGCCAAAAGTGTTCGGCAAGGAAGCTGTGAAAAAAACATTTCAAAGCCGTATATCACAAACGCTTGTATTTAAGAAAAGGAGTTGAAATAACATCATCACTTACCTTCCCTTCACTCTTCCAATAGATGAAGAAGCCATACTCATCAACCTTGAAGAGGCATTCCTTCTCCAACTCGGTGTTATCCTTTTCTTCTGTCCATCTATCAAACACAGCTCCCTAAAATTGATTATATATCTTATTTAAAACTGTACCGTACACATTTTAATATATTATTTTTGCTATTCTTATATCGGTTAACTCTTCGAAAAGTACAACACTTATTCTAATGTAGATATATAAACATACTCGTTATACTATATAATAATCTCGTAACAATTCACTTGAAAATAATAAATACAATAAAAACAAAGGATTACTTGAAGCAAGGGTTCAGGAACGGGAATCTGCCAGTTGAACTCGAACCGCTTGGTCATGATGGAGCACCTTCACCACCCGACCTTGCGACCTTCACCACGATGACATTCTGGAATAGATTTTTTAAAATTAAAATAATTTATTTATATCTTTCCTTAAATGAATAATTAATTAATTACGTGTGACACGTGTGATCAGAACAGCAAGGGTTCTAAGATCACATCAACGATAAACAGTATGTGCAAAATCTTGTTTATTAGATCTGATAAGGAGCGAAACCCGAACACACTCGTGTGTACATTTCATTGCCAATACTTTGTATTACTTAAAAATAAAAGCAGATTGTGAGTAGGAACTTCTTATTGCTCATAAACAATGATTTAATGTACAATAGAACGTAGCTATATTTTCGAAAATAGAATCCAACTAACGACATCTATCAAGCTACAGACTCTCTTTGTCGTTCAGAACTAGAAGTTCCTGTAATTACCTTCCGTTCACGTCTCTTGTAACTCGGAAATGCCTTGAGAACTTTCAAGAGCTTATTAAACTAAAAAAGTTACAAAGCTTCGGAATGTGCCGCGTAGGTGGCTTATCGACTTGCTTGAAATTAACGAGTTCTTCGTTTCTATATTTATTTTTATCCATTTGTATACAAGTATGTAATTTTCTAGGCTAGGTTTCTCTTTACACGAGTGCCTGATTTTGTATAAGTAGTTTCGTGGAGTGTCAAATTTTAAAATATCAAGCTAAGATTTTATACATTTCAAAGAAATAAATTACTTTAAGAATTAAAAGTATTCTACAGCGAGTATCAATTATTAAGCGTTGATAAACTTTTACAAAAGCGTTTTACCTCATTTTCGCGAGTCTAAGCGGATTTGGAGACGTCTGCAAATTGGAGCTTAGTAACTTCGCCCGTTCCGCTACAGTAATTCTGATGTGGCAACACTAGAGTATTTTTCGTATGAAATAACACAGCGGTGTTATTTCAAAAAGTAGGGCGGGATAACAACGGAGACGGGCGTAATTAGATAGATTTCAACGACTAAATTATTTATGAGTGTGAGTGAGTGAGTATTTTTAATTTTAGTCGATAGAAAATAGTTGCATGACCGCCAGAAGATAAGCATAAAAGTACTTGTTTACTCAAGTTAAATCTCTGGCCCAAAATGATCCCTTGCCTGATCAGCGTGAGGGCGATAATACCAGAATTTTGATTTCCATTTTGCAATTATATTTGATTGTATACGTCCTCTAAGAAGAATGATCTTCATTGGTATGATGGATATAAAAAAATATTTTAACAATACAATACTAAACTTTTACCTCATAAAGCAATGCATCGTTCGATTAGTTACACGCAGAAAAATAACGCATAAACATGTCGTCGTTGTATAATGCTACCTACTATCCTATAATTTTTTTTGCTCGTTAACCAGCTATTAGAAATAATAAGACCATGCAATTACTAGATAAGAGCAAAACGAGGTCGCAAGGTTAAAACGTCATGGCGTCATGGCATTCAGATTCAAAATTACAATGCCTTTAATCCGAAGCGTACTGAGAGTTTTATTAGAATTTTCCGTAAATTATTTTAGCTCGCTTCACGTGCATATTAAAATTAGGTACCTCATTAGAGATCTCGGGTGATATTTAAATTTTAACCGTAATTCTCGTATCATTTTGAACTTGCCCTATTTTCATTAGTTTTGTTAAGACTCCCGCAGTTTTAATTTAATTAGTTGAATTTAATTTTAAATAGTAGTACTACAGATCTTTAAAATCTAATTTGCAAAGTTTCACTTAGCATAGTCGTATATTTTCTGTCAGCAATCCGTTTAACCGAACTGTATACAATAATAATAATAAAAAATCAATAAATTAAAAAACAAACATTTAAGTTAATTCGGAACTGTGTGAAATAAGAATATTGATTTAATTCTGTAATCAGTAAAGTAAACATAAGTATACTTAAAAAAATTAGTACGTAAAGTCAGAGGTTCTAAACGTTTTAGTTCTTTTAACCTATTTCGAGTTATTTACTGTTAGTAAAGGTAATTTTTGAGTTTACATTCTCTAGTGTATAGAAAGCCTAGAGGCCAAGTGATGCGATCGATAGGTATATGACCCGGGCTGGGCTCGGGAGCGCCCGCACTAATTGCCATCCAAGTGATTAAGAGCCATTGTATTAACCAGATACGCCCGCTACTTACGAATGCTACGGAACAAGCACATTTACAATTTCCAGAAGGAGCCCGCTTCATTAAAGGTTCTCTAAATTATAATGTTTTTATAAGCTTTTATTCACCAACGGACGGGAAACGGGAAGGAACACTCGACCAAAACTAAACTTTAATTTTTTGAAGATGACAGGAACCATAGCGAGACGTCCAAACAGCTCGATAACTTGAAATGTGTAATCGTACAATCAAATACATGAAATAAAGAAAAGAATGTACAAAATATGCCATTTTGCCCGTAAAATGATAGTACAAAATTGTTAAAATGCTGTTTTCTTTATATATCACTATAAAACGTCTTCAAACCAAAGAGTCACTGCAACAAATGAATTATTTAGCTCCTAAATACAGCCAATGACTTCGTCGGTTACTTACTATATATAAATCAGAACTCAAAGTTAAATCATAAGTACGGCTCAAAGCATTTGCTAATGAGGCGTAAAGACGGCGTTGGAAGACGAGATCGAGTCAAAGTCAGGACGATATTTATTACTTAAGTGGTTATAAAAGTGTATATACTTATGTCAGAGAACGAGGGGCAAGCACGGGGTCACTTGATGGAAGGTGAAATGTCCCTGCCATATAACATCTCAACAAGTTGCTCTGTGGATCTATTTTGGCTTTGGATAATAAAAAATCAGCGAGCATCTAAATTAGTTTTTACAAGCCCCAAAATAAAGATGACTTATAAGCTTAAGCTGTTACTCACGACGTCGGTCGCGTCCCTTCCCGTCGTTCTTGCAAATTAATCTTAAAAGATAGACATATAACGTCGTGGACTTTTGTTTAGATCATTTAAAGAGGAATGACTCTTTCGTACATATTTTTAGGTATCTTGAATTAGATATATACTACACCCGGAGGTAATGGAACCTTTTGATTATTTGTGATGATATTCTAAATGTAGGATATACATTACTACCATTAGACCAAAGAGACCGTCAAAACAAAATGTACGTTTATATTCCATTACTAAGTGTAGAAGTCCCTAGGAGAACTTGACTGACGTCGACTTAGGCAGCTAAAGTGGCATTAAGCTTAAGGTCGTAGAACCTGTGGCTGTTGGTAAATGGAGATGAGTTCGTAATTTGGGCATCGAAAAACTGAACATTCTTCTATAAATAAGACAGACGACATGGTCAATGTCATTATTGAAATGCAGAGTTGCAAAGTGTAATATTTTTCACATATTGATGCACATGATGACATTATATAAATTTAAAAAAAAATACGACCCTGCTGCTCGTGAGCCAGAGGTGACTTCGTGAAAGATGTGTGAAAATATTTCTTATCTTTCAAAAACTACCCGCAAAGTTGCAAAACCGCAACGTACTAAGCGTTAACTAAGCTAACTAACTTAAGAAAATTCCTTACGATATTCTCCGAAGTCGGTGTTTGCTTAACGCTGTAGCATAACAGAATACTTAATTATATGTGCCAAGATATTGCGTATGCTTTTGTTCGCTTCCAAGTCATTTAGAATAATTTATAGGTTCTTAGGCTTCCCCGCAGAACATCGCGGGACGAAGGCATTTGTTCAGTACTTTGAGCCGTTTTTACTGCATTTTAAGCGTATAACTCGGATATTTATGACAATGGAGCCCGAAATCGTTCACGGGGGTGTCGTAAAGTAGATATAAAATTATTGGAAATATGTGATATAGGAAAATTGATTTTCGGCATAATGTTGTTTGTTTGAGATTTTGCGAACATAATGGATTTTCTATGATATGTGTACATTTTAATCAGTATTGGTTAATTCGTTCCCAAGTCCTAGCTTCTAAATATTGAATTGTAAAAAACGTGTTGTTTAAAAATCTAAAATCTGTTGAAAAAATTCTCGACTCGGGCAGGACTTGAACCGGCATCGTCAGCGTTACTTGCTGTTGCTCTCCAATCGAGCTACCGAGTCAATAGCGTGGAACGCTGACGACGCCGGTTTAAGACATGCCAGAGTCGAAATTTTTTTTAGATCTTTAAATTATATAGTGCCTTCATAATATGTAAAAAAAATAAAGTTTTCAAACTGTGTTGTTGTTTTTATTAAATAACGCCAAGCAACAAAAATAAATTTTTAAGCTATATTATTGCTCTATTAGAATTATACTTAAGATAGATAGAAGATAAGAAGAAACCACTCTTTCACTTCTACTGTAACGTTGTAAGATTACTCGGTATTTTGATGTGATTAAAGGCTTTATTTATTAATTGTCTTTAATTTTACTCACCGGATAAATAATAAAAATAAATGCACTTATCAAACTACAACTATTATTTAAATAGGCAAACAATTGTCAAACGAGTTTATCCCAGTAAGCGCAGTTTGAAACTGAGCGATGTAACTCGAACAGAAATATTTTAATCTCATTTAGTGAAGCCCTGTTAATGGAATTAAAAGTTAACGGGCTTTGATATTTTATCCGTTTTGCACGTGAGACCGGTGACGACACGTAAGAGACTCTTTGAGAGAGAACCTCATGAAGCTTTAGGAGGATAGTTTGCCGAAAAAGTTGGGAGTCAACGAATTATTCATAGGCTTTGTTTTAAATGCGTTCAGAACGGGGGACTTGGTTTTGCGAAAGGTAGTAGGAATAAAGTCTGTTAGTTACAATAATTTGTAAATCAGTTTAAATAATAAATTTCGCGTTTTAAACCGGTAAAAGTGTTTTATTTAAATGTGTACTACTCTCTTAAACTATAGACTGTACGTGATAAGTTATTAAATTATGAAATAACTGCGGTTCATGTAATAGCGATAAAAATCCTTTAAGTAACTTGAAACGAAATGTCTCCGTAAAAACATCAGAGCCCGTTTT